ATGATGTATGCTCAATAGTCAGAGCACTCATTTTGATTTTTTGCTTCAATAACAGGAGCTCTTTGGCCTTGTGTGCTCAGCAAATTTGTCATTCAAACACCAAACATCACAGAGCAAGACCTCGGATTAGGTTACAGGCCAACATCTCCATGTAGAGGCCAAGGTTTTTCGTGCCAGGAGAACAGAGATGGAACATTAAATGCTAGTGCTGTCCTAGAGATTAGGACATGGCAGGAGCCCCACACACACACTGCTTTCTGCTACTCTCTTTATATTCCTCCACTGTCACAAAAGCAGCAGCAGTAAATACTGAAGTAAGTTTATAAAACTATCTTTCAAGGCTAGAATGAGACAGCTGGCATACCATCAAAGGCAATAAAACATATGGTACAGTGACAGCACATGCATCATTGCCTGCCTGCACAAGTCACCAATTCTTTTATTCTGAAACTTTTTTTTTCCTTTTTTGTTTACTTGTGACAGCAGAGTTCATAAGTCTTTCAATTCTTATGACAATGTCAGTACTGGGAGAGTAAAGGATGAAATGAAATGGCATAGAGAAAATCAGATAAAAAAGGATGGCACTTTGGAGTCATGGTTATTTAAACAGCAGATATTGTAAGAGATTATTGTATAGACCAATCTACTTAAAGTATTAAGTGGGCTCCTATTCGAAAGTTCTCAGGTTTCTGTAGCCTACATTGCAGGACTTTAATAAAATTAATATATGATCTGGATTATTATTATTATTATTATGGGTGAAAACATCTGCAGGTCAGTAATGAAATGTTAAAATCCAGAATATTATGGAGTAATACAATAATACAATACAAGCCCTTAATGAAGTATGCCATCTTATATACAGTAGCAAAATTCTTAGGCAGGTGTGGAAAAATGCTTTAAAGTAGGAATGCTTTCACAAATAGACATGTTTTCAGTGTATATATATGTATTAATTAACAAAATGCAAATTGAATTAACATTTAGGATTTAGACAGCCAGTTGCTTCTCTCTCTTTATGCAGTCCCAGACAGACTCGATGATGTTGAGGCCACACCATCACTTCCAAGACTCTGACGGTATTGCATGATGAATAACTATCTGCCTGTACTTCTCAGCATTGAGAAGACCATTAATTCTGACCAAATTCACAACTCTATTTGCAAAAATGCAGCCCAAAAATTGCAAGTAACCTTCACCATACTTCACTGTTGCCTCCAGGCACCTATTCTTGTACCGCTCTCCCTTCGGCGAACAAACTGACTTGTGCTAGAGAGCAGACCACCTGCTGTAAGTTTTCTGCATCCCAATTCCCATGCATAGTGAGTCACTTGGCCTTGTTTCCATGTTGGAGATATGGCATTTTTGGTGCAAGTCTTTTGCTGATGGCACTGCTGGACATCTTCCAATTGCAAAAGGAAGTAAGCATGATGTGTCTTTTATCTGCTGCAGTTAGTTTCTTTGACTGACCTCTGCGTCTACGGTCCTCACCGCTGCCCATTTCTTTGTGCAAATCTGGAAACCCATCTCTGCTTTTAAATGTCTGCCTGGAGAGACATTACTGATGCAGTATAACTAACATATCTTGTTGCTGTGCATAGTTTTGACATGATGTATGACTTCTGACAGTAAACTGATTATTTTTTTTCCATATATATAAATTTCCATCTTTACTACATTATCTTTGATCGGTGATCAGACCTGAAAATGAAAAACCTCCTCCACCAAAGAGGATAAGACAGCCTGTTTTACCTGAGAGGTAAAACTCAGGGCAAAGAAGGTCACAATTCACTCCTTCGCTCCATCCAGCAAAAAAACTTGGTATTACTGAAGGCGACTCAGATGAGCAATATTAACCACTCTTATCTAGACTTTGGCAGCTGGGCAGTAAGAGGACACTGTTTACAGAGATTTTAATAAGTGAACCAAAATGAAACTTTAAAAGTGGGGCAGGGAGGCAAAAATATAATTCTGAAAAGTGAGGAGGACAACATAAAGAGAGAAAAAGGGAAGCCAAGACAGAATATAAATATAAACAGATTGATGGACAGACAAGCATACAGAGAGAGAAATGAAGCTTGAAAGAGAAATGCAGTGCCCATCACATTAAGCATGGTACACTGACTGTAAAAGTGTGCATATGTAAAGAGCCCAAGTGTATTAACTGCAGCATGGCCATAATTCAGAGCAGCTTGTCCTCATTAAGACTTAACAGTCCCTCCCACTGAAGCTCCTTACTCCGAGGCCAGCTTAGCCCTTTCATCCCCATTTTGATATGGACCTCAGCCCTGTCTGCCGAGTACGAGGGACTGTGGCAGTGATGGGGATGGCAGAGCCACCCAACTCCTGGGACCTCTGGTAACTCAACATAAGCTGGGTGACACAAGGTCAGCTTTCTGCAATGCCAACATCCAAAAGGTTACTGTCATTCACTCTCTCTATTGTTGCAACAATCCAGTACTCTGATATGGTAACCGTTGCAAAGTGTATCTTAAATATTCCTCTTTATTGGTGATCATTGTTACTTTATTCATTAGATACTTGAGTTATTTTATTTTCTATAGAACTGTTGCAGTCTTCTCGTCAGAACATCCTGGTTTCTCCACAAGCAGTATCATCTGGGGGCAGATAAAATATCCAGAAAGACAGCTTTCACCTGCGGGTTAAGCCTTTGAAGGGATCAGCCAAATTCTGAGCTCTTGTGTTGAGATTTTTATCAACACTATTCTGACATCCAGGGCACTGTCTATCTGGTTACGGTACGAAGTGGAAACAGACTTGAACCAAGACCTTCCTTTAGTTTCTCCTTACAAATGTTGCAATTTCATCCCAACACTAAGATCAAATAGCGAGGAGCCACCAGATGGTTTTGACCTTAGATTCACTGTTTGCTCCATAAGCCTTTAGATGTGATGTGGCTGTCAACTTAAACTGTTTATTGTGATTTCAATAATGTTTAGAATAATTCTTCAGTGTTATTTACTCCCCAAACTGACTGTTGTAAACATCCATTACAGTTTACACACTGACCGCATGGATCAACTTTGATCAACAGCACTTGCTGTAACTACGTGCACAGATTTCCTTTGCAATCAGGGATTATTGCCGACATTTCAGATAATTTAACCTCCAAATGAAGTGGTTTAGATAATCTGCCCAAAATCTCATCTGACCTGCTTGACCACTCTTTTCTTTCCTTGTCTGAGTTTGTTGTAGCTATTTAGTCATGTTCCCAGATCTCAACAATTATTGTGGTGAGTAAATTGCTATCATAACCGAGTCAAAACTGCAACAATAAAAACCAAGGTGTAAACTGGAAATTTACTTTAAGGATGAAACTGTGGCTGTATGGTCCTGGATGATCAACATGTTTGTCCATTGTTGAGTTTGTCAAGAACATTGTTATTTTACAGGGAGACAACAGTTCTAAAACTCAGCTGATGTCATTCAAATTATGTACTCAACCTGTCAGTCTGTGCACAAGATGGAAGATAAACAGTACTTCTCAGAGGCTCAGATGTTCATCTAGGATTCAAAGAACCCATCTGTTAAATCTGGAAAGACTTGAATAGCAAAGACAATTCTTACATAGTAAGACGGCACAGACAGAGGCAAACTAGCTTTAGTGAAACTATATAGCAGGACCTAATGAAGGGAAACCATGAGAACCATCTTCTCTGCCACAGTCTGGGGGAGAAATTATGTGGATGGTGAAGACAGGATGAAAAATCCAGAGTTTAGTGATAGAGGATGATGTATGAAGACAGTGAGAAAAGCAATTAGTGTCCTCTAATTGCTCTCATTAGAAGAGATGGGGCTGATTTAGCAGACTCCATGACGGACACTGACAATTCAGACATATAAATGTCGACTGTATGGGTGTGTTGTTTAAAAGCCATGCAGCAAATGGTGGCTCTTAGTCTGATAGAAGTAGGGCTGATGAGACCAGACCATATCATCAAAACTTCACTCTATCATCTTTCTTGAGATAAAAAAAGAAATGATAGAAAGATAGGGCGATAGAGAGTCAGATACAGCTAGAAAAAAGATGAACAAAATGATGGAATAAGAGAAGATAAATAAAAGGATGGTAGGGAGAAAGACAACTCCCTGACCAGCACTTGACCAACACAAAACCAAAGTGTTGTCATTTATGGTAAATAGTAATTCCCGTAGTAATACAAACCGCATGTAAGCATGAAGAGCACATTATACAATCAAGCTGATGTGATCCAAGTTCACTGTGTGAAATCAAATATCAGCCCAGCCTGAAAAGTTGATGGCAGCTCCAGCCACTATTTTCTTCATTTTGTCCATCTTGCATGAGGTTATCATTGACTAAACACATTAAGGAAACACACTGATTAATGATAGCAGCCATTTTCTTTGAGAAAACACTTTGCAGACAGTGTTCCTAAGAAACAGAGGCTAATGAGACCACAGAGACAACAACCAGAAAGAAGGGAAAAACAGAGCAGATTTTTCTTCATAGCGGCCCTCACATAAGGGTTTTTCAGAATGTGTGTTTCTATTTACCGAGCACTGAAGTACAAAACATTTAGTGTGCAGTACAAAAGAAACTATTAGGTCTGGGGCACATTAATGCTTCAGCACTTCTCGCAGAAGCATGAAAAAAAACCTAAACTTTGTGGTCCCTGTGTGATAGAGTGCTGGTGTGCAATAGGGCATATGCAGACTGAAACAAGATGTAATTAACAAGAATAATATCTCTTCCCTCCTCCAACTGTGAGCAAGGGAAACTATGATATCTGCTCTGTCCTAAAACAGAGTAATCGTGTCTCATTTTCTGCTGAATCCCTGATTGAGTCAAAGGCGGGGAATTATGATAAAGCTCTCGTAATGAGCACCAAGTGGTTGTGGCAGTTGAAGTTCATACGGTGCTGGCTTGACTTTTATACCTGCTGCTTATTCTCATGTAACACACACACTAATATATATATATATATATATATATATATATATATTTCTCTCAACCTTACCTCTCAATGATGTCAGCGATGACACAGGCAAACATCTGCAGGCCCTCTGGAAGCTGCAGAGCCACTGGAGAGCAGAAAAAGGGCACACCGACAAGTTACATACTTGTGTTAGAATGACAGCAACATGTTATTTAATAAATCTTGGACTGCATCGGTATACATGGCCTCTGCTACTGGTTCAGAGTGCTCCACTGACAGCAAATAGTGACATTTCTGGGTAATTTTCTCTCTGTCACAGTAGTACTGTTGGTTTATTTTAGAGAGTGACGGGCTGTTGGAAATATAGTCCATACCAATCACCACAGGTCTACAGCTCATGGCTTGTACAGAGCCATTAAACTGTCTCTTTTCCTGTCTCTCTCAATGCCTGCCACTGGCTCTGAAAGTCATACTTTCACTCTATTTGCTACTGAAACACACAAAACACCCCTCCACCTTACAAGTTTATGTCTCAGATATAGAATTAAATATAGACAAACTGATGGGGCTGCTATAAAATTGAAATCAAGCAACCAATCACTGGTCTGCTGGTGGTGTTTCGCATTGACAACAGAAGACCTACTAAGCTACTGATGTGTGACACCAATTGAGATGAACCTATTGAAAAAACTCATTTAGGGCAGGATTTACTAAGTGGTATATGCCTCGTTTCAGACTCCCTCTGTATTGGGAAACAGGCGTGTTTGTTTTTATCCAATCGGCAAAAGGGCCTGGAAGCACAGTTTGCCTGTAATCTCAACTGCACACTGCCTGAAATAGGTGTCAGGCTCTTCCTGAAAAGAAAAAATGATTCAAATCATGACTTGAAAAATCATGTCAGTTTGCACATTTTGCAATGTGGACTGGATTTACTGCCAATGTAAATGGAACAATGTTGCATGAAAGATTCTCCACCTTTGAAAAGCAGTTGCAGGTATGTATGTTAAAAGGAAGATTGTAGTGGACAAAGGAAATGCAAGAAATGGAAATCTCAATAATAAGGGAAGTGTGGGCTCATCACAAAGATGTATGGAAGTATCTGAATACAGGATGTAATTAAGCTTCTGAGGAAATTAGTAATAACAATCAACACAATATCTGACCATTTAAAAACATTAAAGGGGCAACAGAGAGTTGTGGTTATGTGGCCATTAAGGTTGAACCTTAAATAATCAGCTAGTACTCTAAGCCCAATGGGCCATTTGAAATCCTTAAAGTTCATTTTAATGTTAATTTGTTTCCTAAATTGTTGACTTAATTGCTTAAATTACTGTGTTTTTAGTGTAAAGCATTGAGGTGCTTTGAGAGCACCATATAAATAAAAGGTAGTAATGTGAAGCACTATATTGTACTCTTTTGATGTTAGCTTTGGATCTATGGTGACATCAGTCCTCATTCTGGTTAGACCAGTTGAGTGTGTTGATGTGTTTTTTTTTTTTGTTTTAATTTCTTTATCGGATCACTTCACTTGACTTCAACTGCTTTGATTCTACATTTCTATAAACGAAAGTTAATTGTATCAGTTTTACATGGCCAAATATGTTTTTCCATAGAACTCAACACTGATCAAAATGTTTGAGCTTTTGCCTCTCAGACAAACTGTACTACAACTTTTAAGCTTTCCTTTTAAAATAACATTACATTTTCTTGAAATTCAATATAGATGAAAATCTTAAAGTCCTTTGGGGATTTCTCAAGAGATCCATCTTGTAATTTTTGCATTAAAGATCCTAAAGAATGCATGATTTAGTATATATTAATCCTGCCATCTCCTCATCAAATAAACATGACACCTACACTACTAAGATATTGATGATGTCAAGTATAACCCTGCAAGGAATAACAGAACAGGAATCAAGGCATGAAGTGGAGAAAGAAAAAACAACAGAGGAGGAGGAGATTAGTTAAAACATTTAACTAGGGCTTTAGCTAACGATGATTTTAGTATTCGAAGCTTATATAGATTATTTCAACGATTCATCGATGAGTCGTTTTGCTTGGCGGCGGCTTGGTTTGCTTTTTAGGATTATATTAGAATACATTGTTTGAGTATCAGCAAGGCCTCCTGTCAACAGCTATCTTTGTGCCATTTACCCCTTTCTGAAGCAGTAATCGATTTATACTTCATGTACATATGAGATTAACACAAACATGCATTCACAAGGTGACCAGTTCAGTGTCAAGTCCCTGACACCAAGTCAGCCACATAGAGCGAGCACCTGGAGACAAAGGCTTTGTTTCAACCAACTGTGACATTTTCTCCCAGGCAAACTCTCATACCTTACGTCAATAAATCCATCAACGTCTCAGTGGACACTCACAATTCGAAGATACTGATTTCCGTGCACTAACGTTTTCACATGACTAGGCCTGAAACAATTTTCAAGACTTCACTGTCAGGAAGTATTAAACGATAAAAGCTGGGACACACAAAAAGGCCAAGGATGTTGAGGGAGGATAGTCATGAGATGGAGTGATAAATAGGGAAGTGCAAGGGGGAGGAGTGAGAGCACTTGTTACTTATGAAAGGTTAAGGGATCACCAGGCGCTCATACAGACAGTGAGAGACAGGTCATTACATAGAAAAGGGCAAGTTTATTAACAGAGAAAGGTTTCAGAGCACACCTCTGCCACAGCTGACAGAAGCAAAGAGCTTTCTCCATCTGCTACCCCTGGTGAAATGTGAATCAGACGCTGGAGGTGAGGCTGGCATGTTTTTTTGTAAATGCATGTTTTTGAGTTTGCACGCAAGGATATAAGCTGGAAGTGCACTCCTTCCCTCCAATAAACAGAGCACCTAAACCACACAGACATATAAAGATACAAGTAGAGTTAATTTTTACGGCTTCAAATGTCATGTGTTTATACAGCTTGCAACTCCAAGGAACGAGTGTGGAGTGTTTCTTTTTCTTGGAGACATGTCACTTAATGTGGAACACTGTACATACATGTAGCTTTCTAAATTATGCAGTAACAAAAAGATAATTTTGGCTTACATGAACGGTCAACCGCCAATCATCTTATGATGCTGTTATATGACATACCTCTCTGTGGGACAATGTTAACAATCAAAGACAGGAGATGGAAAGACCAATTTATTAGTGAACAGTAAACTGAACAGATAAAGCCATGGATTAGGGGTTACGGCTAGAAAGACCAGAAAGAGGCTATATTCAATTTTATTTGTTTAGTTGCTGTGTTGTATTAATCAATAACCAATAAATTCTGAAATAATTCAATAATGTTTTTATTGTCTAAATTTGCAAAGTCTCAGTATGTCATACATAAGCGAGAATTCACTTGTGACTTAGAAGTGAATGCAAGTCACAGAGATGTTGAATTTGGACACAAAAGGCATAACTCCACTATAGTAAGGTCCACTGTTATTGTATGCACAGTGCATCCCGAAAATCTTCACAGTGCTTCACTTTTTCCACATTGTTATGTTACAGCCTTATTCCAAAATGGATGAAATTCATTACTTTCCTATTCACAGCTTTTGCCATGACACTCATAATTGAGCTCAGTTGCATCCTGTTTCCACTGATCGTCCATGACCTATTTGTACAACTTGATTGGAGTCCATCTGTGGAAAATTCACCTGATTGGACACAAAGGGCACACACCTGTCTATATAAGGTCCCACAGTTAACAGCGCATGTCAGAGCACAAACTAAGCCATGAAGTCCAAGGAATTAGGGCTGGGTATATCGGTATAATGAGGTGTACCGATATAATTTCAAAAGAGAAATAAAATTAGACAACACCGTTTGTACCGATATAGTTTGATGTTGAGTTAATTAATATGTTTTGTAAAGTCCTGCCAGCGTTTGCTCCTCTCTCCCCTCACCGCACAGCCCCGACCCTCCCTGTGTGCCTACACACAGCACTCACAAAGTCTCCAACAACACGGAGGGAGAGACAGTGCCAGTGGACACTGCTGAAGACCTTGAAAAACCAACAATGGTTCAGTCAGTATTTCCCACACATATACTTTACTTCGGCGGGCCGCCCAGGTATATTTGGCGACACATTGTAGCATTTTTCGGAGAAACGTAATGTCTGAGTCATGACACGGTGGATATTTTACAAGCATGGACTAGGTAAAGCGACAGCGAACGCAATGTAATTTGTTAGCTACCACGTTGGTTTCATTTTGAATGGGTAACATGCGGTGCAACCGAATTCTCTGGTCTGATGAAACATAGACTGAACCCTTTGCCCTGAATGGCAAGCGTCATGTCTGGAGGAAGCCAGGCACTGCTCATCACTTGGCCAATACCATCCCTACAGTAATGCATGGTGATGGCAGCATCATTCTGTGTGGATGGTTTTCAGCTGCAGGAACTGGGAGACTAGTCAAGATCGAGGGAAAGATGAATGCAGCAATGTACAGAGACATCCTTGATGAAAACCTGCTCCAGAGCGCTCTGGACATCAGACTGGGCCGAATGTCCATCTTCCAACAGGACAATGACCCTAAGCACACAGCCAACATAACAAAGGAGAGGCTACAGGACAACTCTGTAAATGTCCTTGAGTGGCCCAGCCAGAGACTTGAACCCCATTGAACATCTCTGGAGAAATCTTAAAATAGCTGTCCACCCATACTCCCCATACAACCTAATGGAGCTTGAGATGTCCTGCAAAGAAGAATGGGAGAAACTGCCCAAAAATAGGTGTGTCAAGCTTGTAGCATCATACTCAAAAAGACTAGAGGCTATAATTGGTGGTAAAGGTGCTTCAACAAAGTATTGATTAAAGGCTGTGAATACTAATGTACATGTACTTTTTTTGTTTTTTATTTGCAAATATTTTAAACTAACTTCTTTCACATTGCCATCATGGGGTATTGTTTGTAGAATTTTTAGGAAAATAATGAATTCCATCCATTTTGGAATAAGGCTCATGAAAAAGTGAAGCGCTGCGAATACTTTCCAGATGCCCTGTATATATGAATATTTACTAATAATAAGGCTCTGCTAAGAAAACATACATCCACATGTGCATGTCCAGTCTGTAGAAACTACTATGTTTCGCTTGAACTTTACACTGTAAGCCAGCGCTCCTACTACGGTCATATTTTCTATAAAGGAACACGATGTCCAGACAGAAGAGAATAGGCCATCTTAGACTTATTGGGGGACACACAAGGAAACTATTTAGAAAATTGGCCACTGGTTAATTAGGGAAATAACAAATGACCAGCCATGGACTAAACTAGATAGTTTTTCAATCTCAGCTTTTTGGACTCCTGTTTAGTGGCTGTTGTTAGTTTCTCTTATTTTCCCTCTCATAAAAGTAACTGTATCATGGGAAAACATTGCAAAAGCTAAATAATGTTCCACATGTTACTTTTGTCTTGAAGCCCAAGGAAACATCTAAAGAGAAACTGTCAACTGTGCTCATCTTTTGATTGTCTCTAGTTAAATTGTGAGAGGAACTCTCCGGGCATTTCACAGTCCCCACAGGGAAACACTTTCATAAAATCAAGGTCCCCCAAGACACTCAAGGCCATACTGCCTTTTACTTTATTGGCTTCATCTCAATGTCTTGTCTAACAACTGTTGTATGGCCCAGGCCATAAGAAAATGGCAAAATATGAACATGAATTGAGAATCTAGAACAGTCACACATGTACACATGACTTCAAATCGGGAAAAAAAGGCTTTGCTGTAGGTCTGGCCATCTTAATTTGGTGATTAAACTATACACAGAGGGCCAAAATGATTACCTGGAAACACACTGTGGTTTAAATCAGCCAATATATTATTACAGGATTTTTATTAGTCTCAAATATAGACAGTATATCTGAAAGCCAATAGCAGTTAGACAAACTCTGAACAACTAAGAGCCAAGACGCACAATAGATTATCTCAAAACTATTAGGCAAAAATACCACAAAGCTTTTGACTATTAAAAAATTCAGAAAAAAGAGGCTGGGCAGCAAAAATAAAATTCTACTGTATGTTTCTCAGTCCTCTATTTTAAAAAGCACAGTGCATGAAACTCAAGAGGAGTTCAAAGGCTGACAAAGAAACAGATGGTCACAAAGAGGAACAGAGAAAGACAAGGGTGATAAGGTGAGTTATGCTTTCTGGGTTCAGAGAGAGAGGATAAGCTCTGATAAAGAAACATCACACAACAAAAAAGCAAAGACAGCAAGCTGCAGAAACCACATACTCCCCACAGGGACATCTAAAAATTGATTCAGTCCTCTTGGCATGCCATCTGCATATTTCCACCCAAGGCAAGAACAACTGAACAACTTCACATTTTGACATTTACATTAGTGAAGGACAATTTTTTTCCCATGCTGGAGGCCATCATTGTAACACTACTGCATGAACTATTTCACAGAGAACATGATGCACAAGTAAAAAGTCAAAATAGTTTCTTGGTGATTATGCACCCTCGCCAAAACTGCCCACCAGCAATAATATCTGTCAATAATAGGCAGCCAGATTATGGTGCTTTAATAGCACCAAAAAATAAAAATAAATATATACTCTTATAGCGGTGCTGAAATAGATGTCAGTGATGACAGCAACAGTCACTCACATAATCACTTCCTCTTTAGTGGTTTTGCCTGCAAAATAAAAGCATGAAAATGTTTTTGCAGCAATGCTTTATTTCAAGTTGAATTGAGAGCTTTTACTTTGAAAAATTCGGAACAACATTGAAAAGAATCTCTAGCTTGCTTGACACACAACCTTCTAGGTTAGAGTCTTGAGTTTTACCGACTGAGCTAACTGAACACTGCAACATTCAGCTTAAATTATGCCTTATATTCTCACCCACCATCTAAAGGATAAAAATATTTGCTCCGATGCAAAACTTATTTGCAGACCCCTGCTATAGTATTACTACTTCTTTTTCGAAGAATGTATTCAATGTAGTGAATAAAGAAATCCACAAGAAGAAGAAGAACGTAGTGACGAAACGCGCTCTGTAGAGGTGTTCTGTTTTGGGCTACTGTAGAAACATGGCAGCGCAACATGGCGACGTCGATGTAAGGCGAATCCACAGTTATGTAGATAGAAATGGCTCATTCTAAAGTAACATAAATGTAACAGTTCAGCAGCCGTAGCAGCTCAGCAGGTAAAAATCGGTGAAAGCACAAAGAGTGAACTTTATCCAAAAATAATCATTTCTGTTTTTTCCTCTGATGTCCTCCGGCTGCTCTGCCTCAGCTTTTGGTGATTTACAGAGTTTCCTGATGGATAGCTTTACTTGTGGTTAGCAGTTGACTTTAGCTGTTAACTATTGCTACTCATAGTTTGGGGTCTTTGGACACACCAGGAACATATTTATGTTGAAAAGACATGAAAAAGTCCATTTTGCATTAAAGCTGCAAGCAGCGTTGGGCGGGCCCTCGCACTTGTAGCGCGTCCGGGTGTGAGCCGGCCGCGTTGCATATTCTGGAGCTCTGCCGGTGCGGCTGTGAATTTGCTATGCGCTTCCGACGCCGCATGAAGGTGTTATATGTCACTTCCTGTGTCCCCTATGTGGTGCTACATAGCACTTGCCGCTATGAATATAAATCGGTATTGCCGTGTAGATGTCTGCGGGTTGGGAGACTTATCAAGCACGTAAAGTTTGGTGCAGATGTGAGCATGTACACTGAAGTTACAACAACTTCCTGTGTCATGGCGAAGAGTTGATCTTTGACGCCACGCCACGGACACACCCATTGACGAAAATTCACAGATAGCACAACTTTTCATCTTCAATGCCTTTAGAAGACACAGCAGAAATTTGAGGTCGGTCGGACTAAATCCCTAGGAGGAGTTCGTTAAAGTACGGAGTGTGTAAATCATCCAAAAATTTACGTAAAATTCAAAATGGCCAACTTCCTGTTGAGTTTAGGGTATGGGTTCTTGAGGCTTTTTTGTGCGTCTTGATATGATACAAATTTTGTGCATGTAGGTTGAACGTGAACGAGGGGATAATCCAATTTTCGAGGTGGCGCTAGCGAGTCATTTTGCCACGCCCATGCGCGAAACCCATAAAATACGAAATTTTTCACCAGTTCTGACATGTTTGCAAAGTTTGGTGAGTTTTCGAGTATGTTTAGGCCCCGTCAATGGAGCCTACTTTGCAGAAAAAAAAATATATATATATATATATATATATATATATAAATAATATCTTAGCAAATTCAATAGGGACCTCACACGGTCGTGCTCGGGCCCTAATTATAAGGGACCTTTAATAGAGCAACATTGATAGGGGACTGAATGCTTTGCTCAGATCTGATTATTCTGTTTGACAACACTATTTTTTAAGTGACCCCATATCCTGTATCCTGAAATAACACAGACAAACAAAATTTATGAAGTCTGGACAGTCAGACGGGCAACTGAATATCTGAAGTTGTTTCCCAGTTTTGGAGTTCATAACTAGAATCTTTTTCCGCTTTTTACTTTGAGATTTGGTTTGACACGACGTCAAGTTCTGCTTAAAAAGAAATAAATAAAATGTGATATCTTGCATTTGTTTTTGGTTTCACTGTATACAAATATCTGTGCTGCATAGATGGTGAGAAGAAATCAGAGCTTGAGCAGTACATCAGCTGCAGGGTAAGCATAGCCTTGCAACTCTGTCAATAACACATAAGCACAATCCCCCCAACACACACCCCGAATATCAAGAAGGCTAACACATCCCCCTCACAAATTCAGTGTTAACTGACTCCAAAACACACTGAACATGGCAGTGCTTGTGAAGAGCATGCTGCTTCACTTTGGTGTCCAAACTGACCACAAGAAAAAAAGACTTTTTCTGAATCACATCACCACAGAGGAACAAATACATAACATCTTAAAATGTACTGATTTCTTAACATTTTTAGCTGTTAATGTATACTGTTAAACATGTGTTTTGGATTCTAATGACATAGTCACAGCAGGATGACCTACATGGCCTTTCAAAAACTGGGTCCATTTTTGATTTGTGGATAATCCTGTGTGAACCTTGCAGGTTGCTGATACAATAATATCGACAAAGTAGATCACCGCACAGATGCAATCATGGATGGCACTGACATGGCATTCATGCGCACATTGTCTTTCGGTATAAAACTCTTAATGCTGTGGATCCCATGTCTTCATACAATCTTCTTTAACTTGCAAAGCCATTGTTAATGAGGTGTGAGTAACAATACAAATGAAAGTACTTCAGTGCTGAACTGTTTCATAGACATTCAGCTAATATTAGTTGTATCTTGTAGTGACACTGACATTAATGAACATAAAATAAATATTTCTGAATCAAGATGACATAAGGCATGGTGGTGCAGTGTAATGGTTGTAAGTGTCAGGTTTTGGGACAGATATCCTGCTAGTTAATACGACTATGAATTGGAAATATTCATCTTATTTAAATACAGGCTGTGGTGTAAAAGACTGCATTTATTGCAGATCCCTTCCTTCCAAGTAACTTCTTCCAGCCATGCTCCAATTCATCTAATGCAACTTAATTTGGAAGTCAGTTGTGTAATTTAAAAGCCTCTAGCACAAGCACTTAAGATTTCTGCGCTGTTCTCAGACTGTACTCGTGAGCATTGTGGTATTGTGAAATAGATGATTGGCTCAGCTTTTACATAATGTCCATGCTGTGTTAAAACTCAATTTCTTAAGTAAAGATCAGCCAGCCCCTATTTTAAGTTTGCAATAAAGCTTATTGTACAGCTGCTCTTCAATCATTTAAAATCTGGCATTTCCCCCTTACAGTAAATACAGTGACTGTTGCTGTTAAAAGAGTACATACAGATTACTCGTCATGTGGCAAATGAATCAAGTGCATTAAGAAAGAACAGAGCTCACCTCTCTTAGCATTTGCTTGTCTCACTCGCCAAATCGTCTTGTAGATCTCAAAGTTGTAATTTGCAGGCAAGACTTTGATCGCCTCCTGTAGCTCAGGGTCTTGCAGGATTTCATCTGGAATTTGATTGGCTACCCGCCGTGGTCCTCGGACTGAAGAGAAAGTTCAATGATTAAAGTTTTAGCAATGCAGTACACACAGATTGAAGCAAGGAGTTCAACTACCTAACGGACCAAACTGTATATTCTACAGACAAGCTAGTCACAAATGGGACCATCCTAAAAAGGACACAGTCAGATAATAAGTTATCAGTGAATTTATTTAGCAGGAGCCATCTGTATGGGTAATTCAGCATCAAATAAAGCTAGACTTTAACAGACTTCAAACATGTTCTACAGTTCAGACTGGCACCCAGGGTAGTTCAAGAAAGTCGCTGTCCACATCCAAATTATCCAAATGCGTATCCCACCTCTACAGGGATAGGTTACCTTTTAAGAGGCACAAGAGCGGTGGAACTGGAGTGCAGCTTTGTCCTTGTGGCATATTCTCTAAATAATTTCCTACAAGCTACTTAGTAGCTTGAAATGCCAGCTGAAATGGGAAAAAAGATGAGAAACTCAGATTTTACTGGCAGAGTTTGAGCTTGATGTAGCCCCACTAGTTCTTAAGTTCTCAAGTCTTATTTGCGGAAGGCAAAATAAAGAACACACTGGTGATCTGAGACATAAAAAATGACCAGGTAGATCCCAGAAGACTACTGCGGTGAATGACAGAAGAACCCTTTCCATAAAAAAAACTTTTCAAATGTCAGTCATATCAAGAAGACTCTCCAAGAGGTAGGTGCAAACCAAAAGGCCAGGTTACAATTTACTTCTATTACTACTACTACTTAAAATAACCTGCAGAGTTCTGGAACAAGATTTTGTGGACTGATCAGACACAGATAAACCTCTATTAGAGTGGTGGAAAGAGGAAACAGCAAAGGAGAAAAGGAAAATGCAGTTATCTTATGCATACCAGCTGATCTATAAAAATGGTGGAGGTAATGTTATGACCTGGGCATGTATGGCTCGCCAGTAGAACTCGCTCCTATGTACAAAAGCAGCAGGGTGTATTCTGACGTGTACAGAGTAAACATATCTGCTCAGATTTAATCCAGTGCCTCTGTTTACACTGTAGCAGGATAATGAAACAGAAAATACTGCCAAAGCGACCAATGACTTCTACAAGACCAAAAACTGGAATGTTCTTGAATGGCCAAATCAATCACTTCACCTGAATCCCATAGAGTGTGCATTTCACTTGCTGGAGAAAAAATTGAAAGCAAAAACCTCCCAAAACACACATGAACTGACACAGGTGCAGTAAAGGCTCGGCAGACCATCAGTATGAAAGAAACCTAATAATAATTAAAGCTGCAAGCAGCGTTGGGCGGACCCTCGCACTTGTAGCGCGTCCGGGTGTGAGCCGGCCGCTTTGCATATTCTGGAGCCCTGCCGGTGCGGCTGTGAATTTGTTACGCGGTTCCGACGCCGCATGAAGGTGTTATATGTCACTTCCTGTGTCCCCTAGGTGGAGCTACATAGCACTTGCCGCCATGAATGTAAATTGGTATTGGTGTGTAGATGTCTGCGGTGTGGGAGAGTTATCAAGCACGTAAAGTTTGGTTCAGATGTGAGCATGTACTCTGAAGTTGCAACAACTTCCTGTGTCATAGCGAAGAGTTGATCTTTGACGCCACGCCACAGACACGCCCATTGACGAAAACTCACAGATAGCACAACTTTTCATCTTTGGAGTGTGTAAATCATCCAAAAATTGACGTAAAATTCAAAATGGCCGATTTCTTGTTGGGTTTAGGCTATGGCTCCAAGAGACTTTTTTGTGCGTCTGGACAAGATACACATACCACCGAAAATTTGTATACGTAGGTGAAACGTGCGGCGGGGTCTGCTTCAATAAGTCACTTCCTGTTGCCAGCAGGTGGCGCTATGACTGTGGGTGAATGTCGGCATGTACATGTGTTGAGGGCGGGACTCTCATCCTATATGTACAGTTTGGTGCAGATGTGAGCATGTACACTGAAGTTACAACAACTTCCTGTGTCATGGCGAAAAGTTGATCTTTGACGCCACGCCACAGACACGCCCATTGACGAAAACTCACAGATAGCACAACTTTTCATCTTCAATGCCTTTAGAAGAGACAGCAGAAATTTGACGTCGATCCGACTAAATCCCTAGGAGGAGTTCGTTAAAGTACGAAGTGTGTAAATCATCCAAAAATGGCAGTAAAATTTAAAATGGCCAACTTCCTGTTGAGTTTAGGGTATGGGTTCCTGAGGCTTTTTTAGTGCGTCTTGATATGATACAAATTTCGTGCATGTAGGTTGAACGTGAACGAGGGGATAATCCAATTTTCTAGGTGGCGCTAGCGAGTCATTTTGCCACGCCCATGCGCAAAACCCATAAAATACGAAATTTTTCACCAGTTCTGACGTGTGCAAAGTTTGGTGAGTTTTCGAGTATGCTCAGGTCCCCAAAATGGAGCTTACTTTGCAGGGGGAAAAAAACAAAAAAAATCTTTACAAATTCAATAGGGACCTCGCACGGTCGTGCTCGGGCCCTAATAATAACTTATTTATATAGTGCCTTTAACGAGACCCAAGGACGCTTTACACATAATTGCAGAGACAGAGCAACCAAAAGTCATTCAGGGTTTTTTGAAGGTGTCCAGAGAGGGAGCATTTTGGATCTCTGTGGGGATGGAGTTCCAGACGGTGGGGGCTGCGGCGATGAAGACTCTGTCCCCAAAAGTCCGTAGTCTGGTGTGGGGGACAGAGAGCAGGCCCTTGTCGGTGGAATGTAGGTTCCGTGAGGGGGAGTAGGAGTGGAGAAGGTCCAGTAGGTACTGGGGGGCAGTGGCATGGAGAGATTTATAGGTGAGGAGTAGGATTTTGATGCAGAATTTGACCGGGAGCCAGTGAAGCTGAGTGAGGATTGGGGTGATGTGCTGCCACGACCTAGTGTGTGTGTGAGAACCCTGGCAGCCAAGTTCTGGACATATTGTAGCCTGTCTAGGACCTTGCTGGGTACCCCATACAGGACACCATTATAGTAGTCCAGGCGGGAGGTGATGAAGGCATCGATGACTCTCCCACAGAGTCTGAGAGTGATGGTCGAAGTCTGGAGATGTATTTGAGGTGGTAGAAAGCAGATTTGGTAACTGGAAGACTGGAAGGAAAATGTGGAGTCCAAGATGACACCAAGGTTGTGGACTTCTTGGGATGGAGAGATGGAGCAACCGGGGATCTGCTCCTGAGGAGTAGATCACCTACCCTCAGGAGCAGCGGCTTGGGAGCCACTACCATTAGCTCCGTTTTGCTGCTGTTTAGCTTGAGTAGACTGGATGACACCCAGGTTTTTATTTCAGTCAGACAGTTAACAAGTGACAGAGGGGAAAGCTGAGTGGATGGTTTGATGCTGATATGCAGCTGTGTGTCATCAGCATAAGAGTGGAAACTGAGACCATGGTGACGTATTATCTAGCCGAGGTGGAGCATGTAAATGGTGAAAAGGAGGGGTCCAAGCACTGAGCCTTGAGGCACACCTTGTTTGACTGGGGCCAGGGGGGAGCTGGAGTCTCTAAAGGTGACGAACTGTTCCCTATTGGAGAAATATGACTGAAACCAGGAGAGTGGTGAACCAGTGAGGCCAATACATTCAGATAGACGGTTAAGAAGGATGGCATGGGACACTGTGTCAAAGGCTGCAGAGAGATCTAGAAGAATGAGGATGCTGATGTGTCCAGAATCTGCGGCGATGATGAGGTCATTAGTGATTTTGATGAGGGCGGTCCTAGTGTCTGGTGATGTCTATGAGTTCCGGACATCAGACAGTCATTGAATGCAAAGGATTTGCAACCAAGTACTGAAAATGACAACTTTATTTCATATTATGTTAATCTGTTCAGTTAATTTTGGTACCTTGAAATGTGGGGTCTGTGTATACAAATGGTTGTAATTCCTGCACTGATCAACCAGAATTGCTGTCAATACTTTAAATTAAAGCTGCACAAAAGAACTGCATTAAAAGTCTGCACTGAAAGCAGATTATAATTGTTTTATTTCAAATCCAATGAGGTGGTGTACAGAGCCAAAACAAAAAGTTGTGTCACTGTCCAAAAACTTAAGGAGGTGACTGTACATTCACAGCACAGTCAAAGGAAATTACATAATTGAATCATAAAAAATACAATCAATCATTATCACCTTTCAGCTCCCTATCAACAGCCCTGCATCATCTCACTCGATATAGAGGTGATTTGCAGTGTGTGATTCTGTTTGACATTACTATTAAGAAAAAAAAGGACTGAAAGTAATTACAGATGTTTCAAACCATTCTGGGACCCTTGTGTGAGAACTGCGGTTATAGTAGTGCTATATCAGTGTTTCCCATGTACAGATGAAATATACCTTCACCCAAAACAATTTTTTTGTATATTTTGTGTTTGTATTCCTTTCAAATGTCTGAACTGGAAACACACAAATTCAAGTCTTGTTTGAAAAGAAATGTTGTCCTAATCCTTTTGACATTTATCCTAATCAAAGTTAGCTTGCATAATTATGCAATGTCATGCTGTAGGAAACCCTGTATGGTTACCAAGAAAGATGATGTAAATTATAACAAAATGTAAAGTGAATGAACAGAAGAACAATCTAAATCAAAACAATATTGGGTGTGACCACTCTTTGCCTAACCCTAAAAACATCAGTTCTTCTAGGTACACTTGCACATAGTTTTTGAAGGAACTCGGCAGGTAGGGTGACCTAAACATCTAGGTTGGCCCAAAAATCTGGGAGAACTACCTATAGTCCTTCTGTGGATTTAAGCAGCCTCAGTTGCTTCTCTCTCTTCATGTAATCCCAGATAGACTTGATGGTGTTGAGATCAGGGCTCTGTGGAAGCCATACCATCACCTCCCAGGACTCTTTGTTCTTTTTTACAATGAATATAGTTAATGAATTCTGATACAGCCAAATATTTTTGACACATCAGTCCAGAGCACCTGCCGCCAGTTTTCTGCACCCCAGTCCCTATGTTTCCATGCATAATTGAGTCACGTGGCCTAGTTTCCATGTCAGAGATATGACTTTTTGGCACCAAGTCTTCCATGACTTTGTACCAGACTTCTCCACAAAGTCGATGGGTGTAGCTAGGTCCCACTGTTTTCTGCTGATGGGACTGCTGGACATCTTCCAATTATGAAGGGAAGCATGATGTGTCTTTCATCTACTGCAGTAGGTTTCCCACAGTGCCCACTGTGTCTTTCGATTGCCAGTGTCTCTTTGCTTCTTCAAAAGAGCTTGGACAGCACATCTGGATAGCCCTGTCTGCCTTGAAATGTCTGCCTGGGATAGGCCTTGCTGATGCAGTATAACTACCGTGTGTCTTGTTGCTGTGCTCAGTCTTGCCATGGTATTTGACTTTTAACAGTAACTGTCTTCAGCCACCTCACCTTGTTAGTTATTCTGACTGTTCCTCACCCAGTTTTTTACCTCCTACACCGCTCTTTCTGTTACAGTTAATGATTGTCTAAACCTAAACATAACATTAAACATACTGAATTGGTGATCATTAGCACCTGTTTGGTATAATTGTTTATCCATACTCTTGATGATATACCTACAAAATCCCTGACTTTGTGCAAGTTAGAAGAATTGATGCTGTTTCGAAGGCAAGAGTGCTCGCACCACATTTTGATGTGATTTACATTTTTCTTCTGTTCACTCACTTTGCATTTTGTAACTTAATAAATATCATCTATTAGATTTTCCACACCTGCCTTAAACATTTGCACAGTGGGCTACTATATATTGTAAAAACTTTGTCTCTGGTCTCAGCTAGTCTCAACCACTTCCTTCACAACACGTGCAGCTGCCTGTTTCTCCCTCAGTGGCAAATGATCAATTATTCACAATGTTGGAAAATATAAAATACTATGCATTCAGTATCATATAGTAGAAACAGACCGACACTGCAATCCAATTAAACAAAATTAGGCCTACATAATCTAAGATGTTTTGTTCAAATTTAAATTGTATTTCTGCAATCAACAGAGAAGTTTTTTCAGGAGTTAAAAAGTAATTTCTACGGAATTAATTTTTCTCCTGCAAAGATATTGACCAGGTGTTGTAATCATTTAAAACTCATGAGGACAGGTAACAATGAAACACGCCATCTTTCACACAACTGTGAACCATGTTCGTCATGAAGTCTGGTGAGTCATCCCGACGACAGTGAACGCTGATCGGATGCTACCTGCTACAAGCTAATGATGTGTCTTATTAGTTTATTATACTGACCACAGCTGGATAGCTACTAAACACTAAACATACAGACCAGGCGACGTTGCTCGTGTTCGTGTTTGCCTCATAGCTAGACTGATGTGTTACTGAAAACAGCTGAGTTTCGGTATGGCTAATTACGCCTCATCTACGTAGCCAGATATCTATATAAAGTACTAAAGTATATTTCTCTGTCTACAGTATTAAATTGTTCTTCTGAGATGTTAATTTTTACCTGTGGGCTTTTTTGCAGGAACAACCTGGACTTCATTTGAGGACGCTGCCATGTTTCCTCCCATATAGGACACATGTGAAGTACAGGAAGGCAAAATCAATCGAGTTAAGAGGTCAGGGAAGATAAGTCGAACACCGATGAAACCGATGTCACTGATCGGGGCAGGAGGACTGCAACAGTTAATTATGGTATGTCTATATGAGTTAAAGTGCAATGTCCATTATCCAAAGTGGCAATAATAAAAAGAATAATACATTCAAATAAGAATTAAAAAGTAAAATATTGTGTATATGTTACAGTTTCAAAGTGCTTTACACAGCCAACTAAGTTGATTAGGCTAAATAAAAATAAAATAACACAAAAGTAAGTAAAACATAAAATTAATAAAATAAAATAAAACAAAAAAACACAAATAGAATAAATATAAAATATGGTCTAATTAAATCTGACAGACAAGGGAATTTATATATAATCTGAGAGAGAGCGAGAGAGCGAGAGAGCGAGAGAGAGAGAGAGAGAGAGAGAGAGAGAGAGAGAGAGAGAGAGAGGCTTGTCTAATGCATTAGTCCATTATGTTTAAGATATTGATTTGGGTGGAGGCTATTTGATCAGTGGCTTTTATGAAAGCTGTCTCTCACTGCAGAATAAGTAGCATCACAAATATCTCCTCATATTTTGTCTTTTTGTATAATAACGCCTTTGTTGTTGTTGTTACATGTAAGTTGTGTCCTTTTGTGTCATATAATATTTATTATGAAGACCTCTGGTGTCAGGGAGCATTGTGTCTCAGGCTGGCGCAGATAGGGACAGAGGCAGGAATGGAGCAGGATGCTGCCCGGTGGAGGGGCTGAGGCAGTACAACATACTTTCTCCCTCCTTGAGCGCATCAACAAGCTCTGATCCATAGGTGGAAAGCAGAGAGATCTTCACAGACAAGAGCACAGAAATGTAACAATTGCGAGTGGAGAGAAGAGCTGAAAAGGGGGGGGATTTTAAGGAAAACGAAGGCATCAGACTCTACATTATTAAGGAGGATTTGAGGAATCTGCGTTTGTAATCCGACATCAGAGGCGGAATGTGAATCCAAATAACTTATGTTAATAAGAGATTTTAACGACTGTGATGCGATTTGAACGGCTCTAAAGCACCGAGAAAAGAATTTTTAGGTTGGCCTCTTGAATTTAAACATCTGTCGTTTTGGAGGACTGCTCGTGTTCACCGTCGACCTGCCCCCAGAACTGATTTGCAGAATCTATGGTCATTTGCGCCTGAAGAGGAGTTGCCTATCAGAGGTTGTATCGGACTACTGTGCGTTTGTGCTCATCACACACACAAACACACACACACACTGGAGTTATCATTATTTCGGACTGAGGGGATGCTTTTGGTGCGTCTGTTTCGTAACGATTGTCGCCTAATTTCCCAGACCCGACTGAGGTCTGCCAGACTCGGTGGATAAGGAGATTAATGTTTGTTGTTAATGTTTATCACATCCACGGCAGTCTGCAATGCAACTCAATACAGTGGTTCGCAAGAAAATCCTGAGGAGTGACAACTGACATTCACACGACAAGCCACGGAAGCTCCGGATCAACTTCAAAACTAAAGCGCACAAGTTTGAAGTCTGGAATATAAGAATAGATGATTCTCAGAGGACAGAAGACGAAATACACCTAGGCCTACAACATGTTCAAAAGGGGTAAGTCTCAACTTTAACACCCAAATTAATTGTAGCTGTTTTATTAATTGCCTAGCATGCAGCCTGTAAGACGAATTCTGCATATGCATAATGTTTATCAATCCAGTGCTGGTACTTTTTACGCTTATGAAACAGAAACATTCATAATGCACCACATTGCCCCGCAGATGTATTATTACAGATGATGCGCCATTTGAAGCGCATCTTTAATTTGCACAACACGCACTGAAGGTTTCTGGGAATTAAATATTCATCTGAGTAAGGATACATGGGGATGACATATGATATTAATACAGCTAATGCTGCACTGCAGTTTATAAGTTGTACCCGGGACACAAGGCTATCTCTAAGAGCAATGCACTCTACTGAAGCATTATTATTTGCTGTGTGTCAGTAGCCTACATCTAGATGTGATGGATTAAACCGCAGTTCACAAGGTTATTCTCCGCTGGCTACACACTATATGAACACTCAAGACCTTTAGCACCTTATATAAAAGGTAATAGCTCCTCAAACTTTTAATATCAAGATCCCCCAGAAAGATAGCCTTCATAGTACACCACAGACTCATATTTGATTATCTGTTGTCCTGTGGAACAGTTTCTTTATTTCTAGGCTTTTATTGGCAATGCAGGGGATGTCTGACAGCAGGGAGAGTAAAACCTCTAATGAGAATAGATTACAGTAGGCTAATACATGCTTCCATTGTGGTATCATTGAGGGAGTGAAATAATTGTGAAATTAAATGGTTCCTCATTTTGCTGGGGCCCCTGGAGCCCCCTCAAGGACTACTGGATGTCCCTAGACCCCACTTTAGGAACCACTGCATTAGATCAAGCATTGCACATCACTTTGTCATGCGTTAGAACCAGACTAATCTTTTGTTGTGTTATTCCATAAAGTTTATATTTATATAAAACATACTCAAACCTTTACATAAACCTCACACGCAGATACATGCTTGGCAGGGGTCACCATACAACACTTACTGCTTGTGTTATATTTGTATTTATTTAGTATTTCGTGTGAAAAACCATCTGTTTAGAGTGTGTGTGTTTCTGCTGGTGGCCTCAGGGGCAAAGAAAAACAACATGTTTTTCTCGCTGCCATCAGATCGATTTTTGTTGTTCCAATAGTCGAGATGAAACATACCATGGTGATGAGTGCTTATAGGGCCTATTGTCTAAACCTGCATCCTGACAGCTTCTCGTAACTAATCTTCTTATCATTTATGAAAAGTGTTACATCTGGATCTTTTGGGAGAACTAGCATGAATCATGATCTGCATTCCAGTAAAGGCTCTATATTGTTTAATGTATGAGCAAACATGTTTGTCTCTGTTTTGCGTCAAACTAATGGACATGCTGGTAAATGCTGTTACTCTTGATAATGCATCGTTATCATTAACTGATCCTCAAGGAGACGATATCCCACAGCACACATTCATATTCCATTTATGTTGAGGGTTAAATGGAGAGCTAAAAACAGAGGTGATTGGCATTTGAGGATTTGTACTCCAAACATGCTCTATGCCTGCTCTGTCTAAGGTTTTTGTATGTGAATCAACTGTCTTACCACTGCATAGTGCCGGACAGAAAATCACTTAATTCAAGACAAACGACTTCAAAGTACAGATTTCACCAGTCTGCCAAAAGTGCTCAGTATGCCAGCATGTCGAAGTCTACAATAGTGAGGCAGAGATGCGTCACCATTGGCAGGAACAGCGCAGAAGTTCTCCAGTGAATTTGAATTTTTTTGCACCTAAAATAACACATTCTGGGGAGCCTGGCTGCTGCATCAGGCACAGCATTTACAGTGACAGGTCCACCATTTACAAACTCACAGAAGGAAAGTGTCTTAGCTGAAACACACTGTCAGCAGCTCTCAGGTTAACCTCACATTGTTGCTAGCTGTGCCTAATTACCATGTTATTTAGGTGGACACAGATTGTATGATGGCCTTTTGGTTCACACTTTGTCTTATGGCTGCTCATCTCTTGATCTGTGAGCCATGAGTTTGTACAGGTTGATTATTGCTTATAACATCATATGGTCGTGTCCATACCATCCTCAAATATGTCTACCTGTGTACAACATCAGTTGTGGTGTGTATTCAACTGTAGGTGAGATAACATATGCCTCTTATCTTTGTTTGAACAGTCAGGTGGTGATCCTGCTTGTCCCTGTGTGTCTTTTCTATATACATTGACTACATGCGTGAGTGAGTGTGTGTCTGCGTACATGTGTACATATATTTAGTCATCCAAGCATACATGTCACTCCATCTCTGTCTGGGCTATTCTGTCTATCTTTTTGTCCTGCTGTTACAATTTCTCTTTCTCTCAAATCCAGTCAGCCATAGAGTAAACGCTAGGGATGATCTGTCAGAACAGCTCTGAGATGGAAAGGAAGATATGTCCACTGAATATACCATGCTGTGACGTGCTGTAATTGCTGCTACATGTTATTCAGGATTACTGGAGGAGGCTCAGCTCAGTGCTTCAGTTTATTGTCCTTTTGGAGTGTGCAGTGTTGTGCAAATGGTCCATGTAGACAAGAATAGATAGGTATGCAACTCATATACTTGCTGAAAAAGTAACACGTGTCAATGTGAGACCCCCCACCCCCACCCTCCACACAAAGATAAACATGCATACACATCCTTGTACTTCTATCATGAGGAAGCTTTGCTGATCACATTAAGTCCATATACTCCAATGAGTTTGTATGTTTTAACCCATTTAATACAAATGTATGTCATAGATTTTCTCACTCCCACAGGCAGCCAATGTTTTCTATTCATTTCAGAACAATATGAAAATCAATTTGCAAACACTTGAAAAACATTGCTTGAGAATATCACACACAACATGAATTCACCTTTAATCCCTTCCCTCATTGGTGCATGGTGATGCTATTGCAGGCAGAAGCTATTTTTAAAATCTTTTTTTTGTTTGTCGCAAGTACATGTCAAAGTGTATATGAGATTTAAGCTTTCAAAGCAACTTTTTAAATGCAAAACAAAACTGTCCCTCGTTCTACATTCACCACACAGTGACAATGTAACCTGTAAAAATGTAGGCACCTAAATTTACGTTATCATGGATTACTTGTCACAAGCAAGTTGTGAGTCTCTACATGTAGATCTTCATATTGTACTGGTACTGTACTGGCATGAATAAAACTGATGGCTGCATAGAACAGTGTGCTTTGGCTGTAATGTAACATTTACATTATTTGAATGTAACAGGCTAAAACATGCAAAACCACTGATAAGCAGCTTTAGGCATCCGCTCTACATACCTTACTTCCACCCTTATACTTGAACTCATCAACCATCCATCCATCCATCGTCAACCGCTTATCCTGCATACAGGGTCGCGGGGGGCTGGAGCCTATCCCAGCTGACATTGGCGGAAAGGCAGGGTACACCCTGGACAGGTCGCCAGGCCATCACAGAACTCATCAACCATAAATCCAAATTCTTAACCTGAAATAGGGCTCTGAAGGGCTCACAAAAGCAGAGGGGTGTGCGTGTACACACATGCACACATGCACACACAAATATGGTAAGGTTTGCTTTTTGTAAGTGTCAGACTCACAAGATAAGACTAATTGGGAAACGTATTTGTATTGACTTCATTTAACGTGATGAGCATTTGTAATGGAATTTTGCTCAGAGAGAACAAAAGGGGTTGTAAGAACACTACAGATCATGCAAGCTTATGTTTGTACACACATCAGCAACTGCATAAATACTAATTAATTGAATGATTTCATGTTCTGTCAAACATGTAATCTAAAACAAAAAAAATGTTCCTTAATCTTCCATCTCCAGTGATTGACAATATGCATAGATAATTACTTGTGGTGATTATGAAATCCTGCAGCATTTAGGAATCATATTTTATAAATCAACCACAATTTCAATCATTGACTTTAAAGTAGCACATGTTGTTTTCAGTACCAGCAGACAGGGTTGGAGGATTTGCCATTAATGAGTTCAGCACAATGAATGCAGCGCAATGGAAACACCTGTGGCATTTGCTCTTCAGCCTTCCACCTCTGCTCAGCAGTGCAGGAAGTATGGTCTCATGGACGTGTGTCGATGGCGTCAGAGCGGCTCTTCAGCCAACACAGCTCCAATTCGGCTCTGCACAATATCTAATAACCACAGACGTGAAGAGGCTCCTCTGTTCTCTTAGGAAGATGCTTTTGACCAAAGGATGATATGACTCATACACATCAAGTGCTATGTTGATGATTATAAAGCAAAATATGGAATTCATTCAAACAAACGGTCTCTCTTTGTTACCAAAGGACAAACAGAGGCTTTTCCTGTGTAGACACAGGCAAGGCCTGAAGCGGACACCATGCAAGTGATTTGATATGACAATATGAATTTGCACAAGAGCAATAAGTTCACATCTGTCTCTGTAATATGTTTCTAACTTTAAGCCATCGTCAAGGCCCAGAGAGAGTTCTATTTAAAGAGAATAGATTCCCCACTCATATTATGATCTTCCTAATCCTCTCACAGTGTCAGCCTTCTGCTATCACTCCTTGTCAACTCTGCATTGTTATACTTTTCAGCATGGCTTGTGTTTTCATGCGGGTGAGAGGCAGTGTGGACTGATGACTGAGAGTTTGGAAGAGAGGCGGTTCGAAGAGAAGTGAAGAGGATAATGTAGAGAGGAGCAAAAATCTAAACCTTAAACTGATCCGCTAAATCTTTCTAAGCCAGTTAAAAAATAGAAAGCAATTCTGAGGACAACATTTCTCCTGTCTGACACTTGTTTAAGAATGCAAATTTTAAGAATGGTAGAATGGCAAATCAAGACATCAACTAGATACAGGAAAATGAAATACATAATCATAACCTCTAGTGTAATAGGATAAGGCAACCAAAAGGTTTAACAAACTGACCCATTGGTAGAGCCAGCCCAGAGTAATTGACAGAGGAACATTACCAATTATTGGATAGCTGAGTCACATTTATTA